TGCATAGACTATAGATGTTGTTAATGTATATGTGCCTATTGATGGCTGATTTGTCAGAGTGCCAGGCTTCTAGAAACAGATAAACCTCCAGGTGGCATCAACGACTCTCTAAAAGAATGCAAATGACCAGATGTCTGCAGGGAGTATAAATCCTTCCATTCCCTACCATCCAGTCAGAGCTGAAGAAGCTTCTTGGATGAGAAGTGAAACATCTTTAAAGAAAAACAAGAAAGTCCAGTTGCCTCGTGAAAAGGCATCTTTGAGATACCTATGGATCGTTGAAGTTGAAGAGATCTTGCACAGCCTTAAAACTAGGCTGAAATGGGAGGTGAAGGAGATCTCTTTTGGTTGGGTGGCTGTTGTGGAAGTGCTAGATTCATAATCCTGAAACTGGCAGGCTGAGTTCTGAAGAAATTTCCTAATTGAAAACAATAAATTTCATTGTAAGAACATTTCCAGAAACAATATATACGTATTGATCCCTGTGAATCACCAGAAATTCTGGAGTATTCTCATAAATATATTTCTGTTGAGGAAAATCGTTATTAGTTTCCAAAGGCCACCGTGTTACCTTTCTGCATGTGCACTGCTAATTAGGCTAAAAATGCTGCAAATATTTGTCTGCAAACTTAACCTCCATGAAGGTCTGCTCAAAAACAAGTCTCATTGAATTCAACTCAACTTATTCCCAGAAGCTTAAATAAAAATGACAGCACAAACGTGAAGAAAGGCATTTGATAAAGTAGATCACAACCTACTACTTGATAAGATAGAAAAATGTGGACAGCATCACCACCAGATGGAGCCGTAGCTGGCTGACCGGCCGTACTCAGTGTGTGGTCCTCAATGGAACTGCATCTACATGGAGGGAAGTGTGTAGTGGGGTGCCCCAGGGCTCTGTTCTGGGCCCAGTGCTCTTCAACATCTTCATCAACAATTTGGATGAGGAGATAGATGGGGAAATCATCAAATTTGCAGACGACACCAAGCTGGCAGGAATAGCCAACACTCCAGAAGACGGGCTTGGGATACAGGAGGATCTGGACAGACTTGAATACTGGGCGCTATCTAACAAAATGAAATTCAATGGTGAAAAAAGTAGGGTTCTACATTTGGGAAGAAGGACCAAATGTACAGGTATAGCATAGGGGGTACCTTGCTCAATAGTAGTAACTCTGAGAGGGACCTCGGAGTCCTAGTGGACAATCACTTAAATATGAGCCAGCAGTGTGCTGCAGCTGCCAAAAAGGCCAACACAGTGCTGGGCTGCATTAACAGAGGGATAGAATCAAGATCACGTGAAATATTAATACCACTTTACAATGCCTTGGTAAGGCCACACTTGGAATACTGCATCCAGTTTTGGTCATCACGATGTAAAAAAGATGTTGAGACTCTAGAAAGAGTACAGAGAAGAGCAACAAAGATGATTAGGGGACTGGAGACTAAAGCATATAAGGAAAGGCTGTTGGAATTGGGTATGTCTAGTTTAATGAAGAGACCCTACTCTACCCTACTGCATTAGAGCTACAATTTTCTCCCATAGCCAGATGGAGTGCCGGAAGTGATATACTGGAACAAAAGAAGACTATTCTTCCATTTATTTTTCAAATTATTTTTTTATAAGGTAGGGAACAGGAGGAGAAGGCCCCCGGGAATTAAACCATTCCCATAGGGGTCCTTAATAAAATCCAGCCCCAAGACTTCAGCAGCACAAAATGGTCAAATTTCTGAAGCATGATTTAGGGCTCCTTTGGGAGAATGTTTAAAGATGGAAGTGGAAGCCATTTGTCTCCCAGAAGCCCCCGGTACCTATTATCTGTAGTTACATTTTTAAAAAATGCAGATGAAAAATCAGGAGTTACGATGCCAGTTTTGTGCAGTATGATCTTGGGATATTAGGAGCCAAAAATGGAGGGCTAAGGGTTTCATGCAGCATATGGACTGAATTAAAGGGAACTGTTTCTCAATTTATTTCATTGGGTCCAAGGACATAAATAGAGTTCCCTGGCCCTCAAGGAAAACTTTTCAAATTAGGGCTCACCATCTCAAAATTATTCAAAAACTAGCATCTAGTTTCAAAAGACCAAGACCTAACTTAGCTTGCACACTTAAGTTGATGGAATGGCAGTAACAGTGGCACAGGACGCTTTCAGGGATGGAGTAGTGATGGCCAGTGCTTTTTTTCTAAAAAAAAAAAAAAAAAAGGTGCCGGAACTCACACACGTCATACAACCCACCTTGCCTACTCTACAAGGTTCCATCCAAAAAAGGTGCCGGAACTCCGTTCTGGGCGTTCTATGAGAAAAAAAGCCCTGGTGCTGGCAGTCTCTATCGGGGCTAGGGCTACTAGATCTGGGCTGCAGGAATCTAAATAAGCATTAGATGTTAGAAAAGAAATGGCGTTTTCTATGTCTCTTTATGGCCATGAAATGGTTGCCCTAGTCAATGTGTAATGAAGCTAGTCTGCAACATTTACCCAAAGTCCACTTATACCTATCACTACATTCCCAGTCATTGCTCTGTGTCAAATAAATATTTATGTTCCTCTATGAGTGTCCATCAGAACTACAGCAGTCTACCTGTTTCAGTTGTGTTAAAGACCGCAAGACCAGCCAAGCCAGGCCAGCTTCACAGTATTTCACTCCCTGATTTGATCCCCAAACACATTCATAATCATCTTTAAAGTCATTCATGACATTTGTCCAGGCTACTTGAGGGACCATCTCATCACATTGGGATTGGCCAGCCCCACACATGCTGGCAAAAGAGGCATGCTGTGGGTCTAATCAGCCTGATTATTCCAGCTGGTGGGATCCAGGAGAAGGACTTTCTCTGCCATTGCATCTGTCCTGTGGAACATCTTGTCTTCTGAAGGGAGGTCAGTCCCATCCCTCCTGACCTTTCATAAGAGCCTAAAAATGTGGCTCTGCCAGCTCTGCCAGTTAGGGGCCCCCATGGAGGGTGGCTTCATATTGGGGTGGTTAATAGATTAACAACAGATCCCATCTTCCTCCCCCGTCCTGTTCCTACCCTCCCCATCTTTTAATTGTGCCATAGTGTTTGGATTTTGTACTAACTTATGTTTTTAGTTTATATAGGTTTTTTTTATGATTGTAAGCCATCCAGACTTACCTTGAAGTAAGATGGGCTGCCTATATATGTCAGAAATAAATAAATAAATAAATTCATAATTAGAGAATTTGAGATCAGGACTAACATATCATAGGCAAAACACAAAAAAGCAAAAGACTCTTTAATATTTTATAATAGTGGTATGGGGGGGGCACTTCAGCTGAACTTCACATGATCAGAGCTAATTCCTTCCTACCGCAGTCATGTCAGCTTGAGCAATGAGGGGGCAGGAAGAACCTCTGCCTGCCAGTGAAATGCAGCAACAAAAGTCCTCAGGTTTGGATGAAAAGACTTGCAAAAAGTCTCTCTCTTTAAAACATGAGCATTTTAAAAATGAACGAGTGGTATTTGGACAATACTTGTTACTGGCTTTCTTATTGGACAGAAGTATTAGTGACCTTGGAAACCTACTACAAATTTATTCATCAAAATAAATCATTGGTGGGAAAAAGCAAAAGAAGAATTGTTTTAAATCCAAATGAACATCCCCTTGTCATCACTACTGTTTTCCTCCTGATCCTCCTTTCCATTCAAAGGATCTTGAGAAAGTTATGTGGTTCTAAAGAGAAAATTATTTTGTCTCAGAGGCCACCTCCAAAGAACAAAACTAAGAATTATAGACATTATCTATCTTGTCCTGTCTTGTTTTGGGTTTATTTCTCATTTTCCATGAGATAATATTCATGGCACTACATGATTTGCATTTGACTTTTCCAGCTTTAACATAATTTGACCTGCTAGACATTGTCTTAAAGAAGCGGTTTGTTGCCTCTAAATCAATCCTGGGTACCATTCTTTTCAGATTACTGAGATCTCCTAAGAGAATACCAAGATCTCATGAAATATATGATTAGATTTCAATGGTTCTGTGAAATTTTCATTATTTTATTACGTATATTATTTTCCTTTTGGAGTACAAAGTATATCCTTAAAGTCAGAGCAGCCATAAAGATAAAGAAGGGTTGTAGTGTGGTTCAGTTACACAGTTATAATTACACTAGAGAAATCCTAGATCAAATTTAGCCCAAGTAATTCCCCACATGACTAGCTGTGCCCATGGAACAGTTACTCTCTCTCAACAAGATGTGTTTCACATTTTGTTAAATAGGGAGAAGCAAAGAGATTGATAAAATATCCATATAGTGTTGTTGGCCACAATAAGGAAAAGATTTGCTGTTGTTTTCCCAAGTTCACCTCTATAAAATGAAATATGACTCCTCTTGGTAGCACTTTGAGTCAACTATTCATAGGCTGCAATAAGGAGTCATAGAAGAAGGGAGGCAGGGGATTATAAACCTATCAGGACAAAAAAATCACCTGGAGAAACTTTTTTGAAAATGACCGGTCATTTTAGGGACATTTAGAACAGGACCTTTGTTTGCCTCTATTGCTGCCATTCTACAGAATATTTTTCTTCAGAAATGGAAACTGGCCCCAGCACTCTCTGCCTTTGCCCAGCTAAGACTAAGCAATGATGGCTAAACAGGGTGGGACTAGTTAAACTTAGATGGAGCTTACCAGGAAATTCCAGGGCTGTGAAATAGACTGGAAAATAAAAAAATAAAAGACAGCAAATTGTTTCCTTATTGTGGCCAACAACACTATATGGATATTCTATAATGATACCAGGAATTAAGGCCAAGTTGGAGATTTTACCATTATTTTTACTCCCTATCTAGCTAAGATAAACCTCTTTCCTAGGTTTTTTTTTATTTTTGCATTTCTATTACATTGTTTTTAGCTTGTATATGTTTGTGTATTGTCTTAAAATTTAAGCTGGCTTCAGTGTTTTCATGTCAGTCTTACAAAGCACATTACACAGAGGAAACTACTTCAAACAAAAATAAAAATAAGGATATACATACAGCTTTCAAGATTGTCACTGCATCTTCCTGGAGCCATGATGGGTAGGCAATTTCATCATTGAGGATAGCTTCAAAGAGGTCATCCTCATTTTCAGCTTCAAATGGAGCATGACCACAGAGCATCTCATAGAGGAGCACCCCCATCGCCCACCAGTCAACATCAGGACCATAAAGCATCTCCTGCAAAATCTGCAATTAAAGAAAGAGGTAGAAATCATTAATGCTCCCAACTCTTCTGAGTCTTTACTATTCTTCATCTGATAACTGCTTTGTTACCTTATGACTTGCATGTGTCAAATACAATATATAAACATTTCATATTGATTCAGGGATAATTTTATCTCAAGTTAACAAACTATTTTATTTACAGTTGCTTAGCCTTCATTTGATAAATGCAGCATCAAGCAATGACATATAGTACAAAGGAGTCATCACAACTCTAATTTTCACAGGTAGAACTTTTATATCATTTAATTTTATAGGAAGTCAATTCATGTGACATCAGATATAAAGAAATCAAGAAGTATACGAATGTGTGGGCCAAATGAGAGAGTCACATTATAAGGATCAGAAAACCGATTCCAAAATCTGAAATCATATTAACCCAGTGTATGATGTGAGATATCCAGACATAAAATGGATATATATATGCAGTGCTTTTTTTCTAAAAAAAAAAAAAAGGTGCCAGAACTCACACACATTATACAACCCGCCTTGCCTACCCTACAAGGTTCCATCCAAAAAAGGTGCCGGAACTCCGTTCTGGGTGTTCTATGAGAAAAAAAGCCCTGCATATATGTTATATCCAGTGGGCAATCAACTATTCTGCACTAGATTATTACTGTGTTTGTTCCCATACCCAAAGAGATTTACTTCTGCTTATAAATGTGTAAAACATTTCCTTTATGATACGTCATCATAAGCCGGCCATGCATGGGCTATGTATTCAGAAGTACATGAATACTCCCATGAATACATCATCTCTACTACTTATATATAAGACATATAAGCATGGACATATAAGTCCATGAAAACATATATCCAAATGCTTTACACAGCAATTTTAAGCAGCAAGTTGATGATAAGTGTACAGATTATGTAGCTATTTGTTTATGCTGAATAGCCAAGTAGATTTGTTTGTTCAAATTCCATTAGTATGATGGAAATTTGGGTTTTGAAATCCATTAAAAGAAAAAGGGAGCCATTCTTGTACCTCTGGAGCAATATAGTCAGGGGTTCCACAGAATGTCGCAGTGGTGATCCCATCATGGATTCCTTCTTTGCACATTCCAAAATCTGCCAGCTTGCAGTGGCCCTCATGATCCAGTAGCACATTATCCAGTTTCAGATCTCTGTAAGAGTTATTGATATTATGTCAATTTGTCAGTGGTAAACTGAGGCAGAAACAAACTAAAATGAATCAACAAATCCAAGATCAACATGATCACAGCTGCTTAGTTCATGGAAAACTTTCAAACATGATGTTACTGTATAAATATGTTCCTATGTGCTGAAGTTACATGAACGTAATGGAAGTTCAACAGAAAATGGAAATTACTGCCAATATAGAAAAACCAACAATCTCGGCATTCTAAGTAAAAGTACAGTAGATAAATATTCCAAACTTGAATACATTACAGCATAGAGTCATATAGTTAGAGGGCCATGATCAGAAAGAGTAGAATCCCTACTCCACAATCTAGCATTCACTAGAATACGAAGCTAACAAGCTTGATAGAACACTGATAGATGATTCTGGCTGATTTCTCTCTCCCCTACATTATTTAAACAAAGCTTTCTTCATAATTACTATAATATTAGAAAATTAAAAGTAAATAAAGATAACATAATGACAGCAATAGGACATTCTTGCTGATTTCTCTAAATCCTGCAGTAGTATATTGTAAAGAAAACTTTATCTTAAACATTTAAAGCAAGAATTTTCAAAAAGGAAATGTATCATGATAAACAGAAAAATATAAGTAATACTGAGTTGGAATCAAAAAATAAACAGGAAAGTTCAAAATAAAAGTGATGTTAAGATAAGACATTGTAAGATAGAAACAAGAACATTACAGAAAGGATGTCAGAATAATAAAGGAAAAAAGTTAATATTAAAGTAATAAGAAAAAAGAAATGAATATTTTTGGAGAGAAATAAGGAAGAACCAGTTGACCTCAAGGGAAACATAAGATAGTGATGTATAAATTTGTCAGAAGGCCTATAGACATGATAAAATGACCTTTCATGGTGCCCCCTTTTCAGCATAAATTTGAAGTTCTAAATAATTTTTCTAGAGTTATATACCAGAGGTATATTATTTTATAAACATTCTTCTTTAGTAACATTGTAATATTGTAACATAATGTAAATCTCAATCCTTTTAACCAGATATTTTCCCATTGTTTCATTATTATATTATGTCCAAAGTTTTATTGGACAAAGTTGTGCCCATGTATAGTCTTTCATTTGTTCTTCTTCCATTTATAGTTAAAGTTTATACATTTTACAATTACATGTTCATTATTTCTCCATAGTTCAACTTCAAATTCTGTTTTCTGCTGCTTAATTTCAAGTGTCTGATTATGTATTTTAAATCTTTCTCTTAGAATTAAATTAAATTAAAATTAAATCTCTCTACAATCGCTTGTTGTCTTGATTTCATCGTTTTTTTTTTCCATGTTCCTGTCTAAAGGCATTTGCAGGCACAATCTGGGCTTATATCTGTTCCACTTCTATTATAATGTACTTAAAATCTACATTGAGCTTAACTTTGTCATACCATAGAAAACCATGTCATCTAAACCTCAGATCATACAGTATTCTTCTAATTTTAAAATTCTTTTATTTCTCAGCAAACCCAACATTCATACACATTAAGCCGCAGGCTATCAATCCAATTTCAAACTAGGTAAATCCCAATATTTTCCCTTCTTTTCATCTTGAAGTATTTTATAGTCAACTCTTTGTTTTACCCCTTGTTATACAAACTGAAATATATCTTTCTGCCATTGTTTAAATCAGGGGTCTTCAGCCCCCGGTCCACAGCCTGGTATCAAATCTGCATTTGAACAAGTGGTGTGCGCATGCATGAAACCATCCATCTCCCACCACCCCACCGCCACTGGTCCAAGGAGCTAGAAAGGTTGGGGATTGCTGGTTAAATACTACATCAGTTATCAGAATAGTTTGAAACAAAAAAAATCACCTTGGCAAAACATTTTTACCACATAAATCCTCTCTAGCATTGATAATTGTAATTTCTCCCAAATTAACATGTCCTTTTTAATTTCATTCCATGTCTTAACATAATTATTCTATTATAGTACACAATGCATGTTAGTCATTGTAATACCAAAGTACTTAAGATTTTCTCAATATTAAGACCATTTTTTCCATTTGCTTTTCAATGGTCATATTCTTTGTGAACATCCTTCTTTTGTTTCTTAATTTTTAAAACCAGCTAATACCCCAAAGTCTTGATAGTTTTTCCATTAGTATTTCTACTGAATAGAGTAGAGTAGAGTGGAGTGGAGTGGAGTGGAGTGGAGTGGAGTGGAGTGGAGTAGAGTAGAGTAGAGTAGAGTAGAGTAGAGTAGAGTAGAGTAGAGTAGAGTAGAGTAGAATAGAGTAGAGTAGAGTAGAGTAGAGTAGAGCTGGAAGGCACCTTGGAGGTCTTCTAGTCCAGCCCCCTGTTCAAGCAGGAGAACCTATGCCATTTCAGACAAATGCCTATCTAGTTGCTTCTTAAAAATCTCCAGTGATGGAGTGCCCATGATTTCTGAAGACAAGATCCTTCCAGAGGATCTTCCAAAAGTATCACCAAGAAATCAGAAAATCCTCATGATTTTAAAATTTCTCTTTTAATCTTCAGTCCAGCAATTATCTCATCTTATCTTATATCTCTGTACCATACTTCCTTTTTTAATAATAATTTTTATTAAGATGTACATATATAAAGGTTTAAAACTAATATGAAATATGAAAAACATAAAAATAAAAAGTTTTACAGAAACTTTTTCTGTTTGTTTTTATTTTATATGCTTCTATATATTTTTATAAAAACTAGAAACCATTTAAGTCTTAAATTTTAAGAGTTATTTTATGGCCACTGAATACAGCAGTCACATTGAAACCATCTGTAATCTGGAAGGCATGATTTGATTTCTATAAACCTTCAGTAGTGTGGTTTTTACTTATTCTTGGCTAAGATAGGAATTCATCTGAACAAATGTTTACATTAGACTAGTAATAGTAATAGTAGTAAAGTTGGAAGGGACCTTGGAGGTCATCTAGTCCAACCCCCTGCTCGGGCAGGAAACCCTACGCTATTTCGGACAAATGGCTGTCCAGTCTCTTCTTAAAAACTTCCAGTGTTGGAGCATTTACTGCTTCTGGAGGCAAGCTGTTCCACTGATTAATTGTTCTCACTGTCAGGAAGTTTCTCCTTAGTTCTAGGTTGCTTCTCTCCTTGATTAGTTTCCACCCGTTGCTTCTTGTCCTGCCTTCAGGTGCTTTGGAAAATAGCTTAATTCCCTCTTCTTTATGGCAGCCCCTGAGATATTGGAATACTGCTATCATGTCCCCCCTTGTCCTTCTCTTCGTTAAACTAGACATACCCAATTCTAGCAACCGTTCCTTATATGTTTTAGCCTCCAGTCCCCTAATCATCTTTGTTGCTCTTCTCTGTACTCTTTCTAGAGTCTCAACATCTTTTTTACATCGTGGTGACCAAAACTGGATGCAGTATTCCAAGTGTGGCCTTACCAAGGCATTGAAGAGTGGTATTAATACTTCACGTGATCTTGATTCTATCCCTCTGTTAATGCAGCCTAGCACTGTGTTGGCCTTTTTGGCAGCTGCAGCACACTGCTGGCTCATATTTAAGTGATTGTCTACTAGGACTCCGAGGTCCCTCTCACAGTTACTACTATTGAGCATGGTGCCACCTATGCTGTACTTGTGCATTTGGTTTTTCTTGCCTAAATGTAGAACCTTGCTTTTTTCACCATTGAATTTCATTTTGTTAGTTAGTGCCCAGTGTTCAAGTCTGTCCAGATCCTTCTGTATCTGAAGCCTGTCTTCTGGAGTGTTGGCTATTCCTGCCAGCTTGGTGTCATCTGCAAATTTGATGAGTTCCCCATCTATCCCTTCATCCAAATCGTTGATGAAGATGTTGAAGAGTACTGGGCCCAGAACAGAGCCCTGGGGCACCCCACTACACACTTCCCTCCATATAGATGCAGTTCCATTGAGGACCACTCGCTGAGTACGGCCGGTCAGCCAGCTACGGATCCATCTGGTGGTGGTTCTGTCTACCCCACATTTTTCTATCTTGTCAAGTAGTAGGTTGTGATCTACTTTATCAAATGCCTTACTGAAGTCCAAGTAAATTATGTCCACAGCATTCCTCTGATCCACTAATTTTGTCACTTGGTCAAAGAATGCAATAAGATTTGTCTGGCATGATCTATTTTTGACAAACCCATGTTGGCTTTTAGTAATGACTTTGTTTGCCTCTAGGTGTTCGTTGATTCGTTGTTTGATTATCTTTTCCAGGATCTTCCCAGGTATTGAGGTCAGGCTGATAGGTCTGTAATTTCCTGGATCCATTTTTTTTCCTTTTTTGAGGATGGGAACTACATCAGCTCTTTTCCAGTCCTCTGGTAGTTCCCCTGTGTTCCAGGATCTTTGAAAAATATAGTTCAGTGGCTCCGATATCACATCTGCCAGTTCCTTGAGAACTCTGGGGTGTAATCCGTCTGGTCCTGGCGATTTGAACTCATCTAGGCTGGACAGGTGCTCACTAACGATTTTCTTGCCTATCTTAACTTGTGTTTCTGTTTTGTTTTTTGTGGCACTATTTTTGATAGGTTGGTCTGTTTTTTCCCTTTGTGTAAAGACAGATGCAAAAAATGAGTTAAATAGTTCTGCTTTCTCCCTGTTGCTTGTCACCTTCTTGCCACTTCCACCCACTAATGGACCAATCATTTCCTTCACTTTTTTCTTGTTTTTTACATGTTGAAAGAAGCTTTTTTTGTTATTTTTGACTTTGGTCGCAAGCCTCAGTTCATTTTGAGCCTTGGCTTTCTTCACTTCATCTTTGCAGGCTCGGGCTATTTGCTGATATTCTGACTTAGTTATGTTCCCCTCTTTCCACTTTCTATACTTGTCCTTTTTATCTTTCAATTTGTCAGAGAGTTCTTTATGCAGCCATGCTGGTTTCTTTTGAGAGCTGTTATTTTTCCTCTTTGTTGGTATTGTGCTAGACTGTGCTTTTATTATCTCATTTTTCAAAATTTCCCAAGCTTCTTGAGTTGTTTTCCCCTTGAGGATTCTCATCCATGGAATC